CTATGCGGTCCGCAACTTATCCTGATATTATTTTTATAGGCGTAAAAAGTAATAAAAAGATTCAGCAGCGCAAAAACTATATTCGAATGTGTCGGTAAAACAGACGACTTTAGCATCCTCTTAAATATGTATGTGTGAACGAACTTAATTATGAGACGCGATAGAAACTTACTTCTCCTTTCTCCGCACAAACATGATGATTAGCTGGAATTTTCATTTAGAAATATTATGCCGCGTTTACCTGTAGCCCTTGCGATCCTCGAGGGCCAGTTTGTTGAAAAGTAAAACGTCCGCGTCCGGTTCGATGTCCTCCTCGGTCTTGTTGGCGGCGCGCTGATAAGAGATGACGCCGATGACCGACGCGGTGTCTCCCGTTAACGCGTCGAAATCCACCGCCGCGATGTTATAAAACGTCGTTTGTTCGACTGTCCGTTTGGGCAAGCTTGAATGACATTCAGGCCCGGTTTCACCAAACGTCGCTCAACTTTAATCCTAGTTTAATTCGTGCCTGTCTCTTTCTAAAGTGACAGTCGGAAAGAGACGAAGGACGAATTGAGCTAAGCTCAAAGTTAAACAACGCTGGCGAAACCGGGCCTTAGAATATTGCGAGTTAATCAACGGTCACGCGCAAATTAATCTCGCTATTCTGCGAAACTCAAAAAGATTTCTCTCTTTTTATCAAATTGCGTGTCCAAATTTTACGTTGCGTATTTTGCACTTTAAAGTAAAAGAATATAATTGCTTTTCGAAAAAAATTGCAGAACTTAACGTCAGCGCAACGCGAAACCAAAATTTTTGTCATTCACGCGACGTTTAAGCCTAATCTACAATGCGCTTTCTGCATCCAGAAACATTCTATTTTACATAAACAAATCAAACCGCTTAAAATGATCTGTCAACCATGTACGTTTATATGCAATGTATAGTACACAATTTATCAACTCGCACAAATTCTTGAAACGTATTCATTGACTACAGAATAGAATGTTTCTGGACGCAGAGAGCACATTGTAGATCAGGTTTTATGGTGTCGACGGGGCGTCGGTGCCCCTGCAGAACGGCAGCCCGGCCATCACTCGGCCGAGTGATGGCCGGGCTGCCGTTCTACAGGGGTGACGGCCGACACAGGTAACTTACAGAATTCGGTTGGTTGAGTGCACGCTAACAAGGGGAAGATATAGGCCTGTATGCTGAGATTTGGCTAAATTTTAAATACGTTGTTCTATCCTCCCCAATAATAAACGGTGCAGTAACTCTTGCCAATGGACATTAGTTTAGAAATTAAATTATTTTTAAATGAGCCACGTGTGTAATCTGCCGAGTCGATAGCACGCTTTTTAATTTAGACACGTGGTCGGGCTAGTAAGTCGAGCGACTAGAATGCCGGAGGTCTCGAGTTCGAGACCGGCTTTTTTCCATTTCTTTTATGGTAATATATTTTTTGTACATATATATATTAATGCTATATTAATCCTAAACAAATTTTTATTTCACGAATATTATCTGTGGAAAGGGTCATTTTTATTTAATAAACATAATATAATTCACTAAGAAATAAATTTTATTAATATGACACACTCCATGACAGACGTGTCCTCGCAATCCGATGCAACGTTATTCGGAATACATATTATGTGTCATCATATAATATTAATAAAACTTTTTCTTGGTGAATTATATTATGTTTTATTTGATAAAAATGACCCTTTCCACAGATGATATGCAAATTCGTGAAATGAAAATTTGTTTAGGATTAATATAGCATTAATATATACAAAAAATATATTACCATAAAATAAGTGGAACAAAGCCGGCCTCGAACTCGATACCTCCAGTATTCTAGTCGCTCGACTTACTGGCCCGTCCACGCGGCTAAATTAAAAAACGTATTATCGATTCGGTAGATTACGTGGTTAAAAAATAATTTAATTTCTAAACTAATGCCCATTGGCAAAAGTTACTGCACCGTTTATTATTGGGGGAGGATGTAGAACAACATATTTAAAATTCAGCCAAATCCCAGCCTAAGGACCTATATCTTCCCCTTGTAAGCCTTGTTTGCAGCCAATTCTTACATTTAAAGATCATTTTGAATACCTCTTGCAATATTTCTTATCCAGAAAAATGGTCTGTACAACGTTTACACGGATCATTTGTGGACTAAATACTCTTTGAACATGTATATTTAAGACAAGCTTTAGCGTGCACTCAGTGCGCACCGAGTGCAAGCAACTGGATTCGCTATTAGATTTACATTATTGTAAAGAGTTAAATTATAATTATCGTAAAACTTGAATGAAAACGTAAATTAAAATGATCTTTACCGAGCAATTTTTACTTACGTGCATGGAATTCTGAAGATCGTCGTGGAATTGGCGAGGGTGACTTTGAAAAACAATGTACCAGATGTTTTCAGCATATTTACGGACGTCATCACCGATGCTCTGGCTGGTTGACCTAAAATTCGCGAGATTTTCCAAGTCCGTAATAGAAAGTCCTTCAACGTCAAGTCCGCGTAATTACTTGCCAAAAATATAACTTTTGCGTAAAATTAAATTTGTACAAAACGAATCAACAACGCTCCGTTTCCATATACGTTTACTCCAATGGAAAGGATGGTTATTTTTTATATTCCGATACCGCAAAACGGTGCTTCGGCTCTAGTCGCCAGATAATAGATTCCCAAGGCTCCACGATTAGCCGCGTAGCCCAACTCTTGATTCCAATTGGTCGATTCCATGGGGAAGCATGTCCCACGCGCGTAGGATATTCCTCCTTGCGGGCAAGGCCAGGCGGTAAACTTGCACTTTTCATTTTGCGAGCGGACGCTCTCTATGTAGATCTGAAAAGCTCTCAAATGGCTGCACGCTATGTGCTTGTCCAGCAAATCCTCTAAAATAAATGATCGAAAGAGGCGTAAATGACGTACGTTTTTACAAAAGCACACATTTTTAAATGAGAAGTGGATTAAGTACTTCATGTGTCGCAAAATAATCTAAAACGTCTTTATCTGGACGTTATTTATCAACGTAACTCTCTGGTATATTGAAACATAAAATCTCTAGAAAAAAAACCCTTTGACCCTTAGTTCAGGCCCTTATCAAGTGAGATCTAAGAGTAAATGTTTTACATACAGTATAAAACAATTGTACAGATTCTTTTATACTGTATGTAAAACATTTACGCTTAGATCTCACTTGATAAGGACCTGAACCAAAGGTCG